GTGCCGACCGTTTCACGAGCCCTTTTGATAAAGAATTTCACAATACAGCATTGCACCGAAATACAACTATAATGTACGTACAGTCGTCCGAAAGATGGGCGGAGTGCACGAAGCTGCAGCTATTAAACAAATAGCGCGGCCTTCTTATTCTTATTCAGAATAATATTTTGCTTAGATGAGAAAAGGGAAGAAAACATGAGGAGAGACGGTGTAAAAAAAGATCTCTCACTCCGTGTCCTAGACAGGGCACGATTTGAGGCATCCAAAAAACCTACCACAGCAAAGCAACATAAATAGACGTTATACGTGTACATATAGGCCGGTGAAGACATTGAATTTTAAGGGAAGGTCGTAGCATAGAGCCCCCCCCTCCCAGCCATTGTCTAGATAAGAGGCGTTATTCATCTTCAGCTCGGTTGAGGTTCTGTCACATGTCCATGGCCTTGATGAAGGGAGGAGTGAGGAAACAGTCAAATCATCTTTGTTGTTTTCAAAACATGTCAGGAGGAGTTGAGATAAGTCCGACGTCAAGGCCACAGTTTGAGTCAGGCAGAACTCGTGAATTGTTGTTTCTGCCTTTTAAAGTCTCGCTGGGATATATTCCTCTGATGGAACTCCAAAATAGCCGAATTGATCCTTTATGGCAAAAGTCGAGCTCACAGCTTCTCCAAGATTGTTCCCACCATTCATGAGTGCTGCCAGAAAGTTCACAATCTTGATAAGAACTGCTCCAGCTCCCTGCTGCAGCTCCCCAAATTCAGTCTGAGCACTGTCGAGCTTCGACACATCCACACGAATTTGTAGCCAATCCAGAATTCACCAGCCAAACAGCAAAATAACCAGTTGTCATCATGAATCCAATTTGTTTCCGTTGGTTGAACAAATTCATTTATTTTCTGAACTGTCTCATTGTCCCAATTTTTTTTTTTTTTGAGGGGGGGGGGGTCAGCTGTTCCCTTCCTCAGGGGTCACCACAGTGAAGCAACTCGCACGAAGACTTGGTGATTGTTTTTTATGTTTTTTTGTATTGAACGCTTTTTGAATATGCCAGACGCCCTTCCTGATGCAACCACAGAACACTGAGCTACCACAGCCCACTGTGTGGAGAAGAGTTACCATCTAGAGAACCCGGGGAGAGCAGATTGTGGGGTTAAGGGCCTTGTTCAAGGGCCCAGAGTGGGGCAAATGAGGGTGGAGGCAGGTGTGGGTGCGTCACTTTTCCCAAACACATTTTAATGTTGTCGGTCCAAGGGATCAAACCGGCAACCTTCCATTCACAGGCCCATTGTTGGAGAAAAATATTCTCTCTTAACTTACTCAAAAAAAAAAACACACTCGATGGCAGGAGAAGATTTGTAGCAGCATTTTACTTGCAAGGACTCATTCGAGACAGATTACATACATAGCTACATAATGCATGGAACATGTCACAGAATAGAGTCGAATAGAGTTTGCTGCAGACTTTTATACAGCAGCAGAGTCCAGTGGGCACTCCCTCATAGCCAGCTGTAGTCAGACGCACAGACATGATCCATGGCCGTCAGCTAGTCAGCCTCCAGATGCAGATAAGAGAATGTTTGGGGCATACAGAAGCAGGAGGAAAGACATTCTCAGCCATAATAAAAATACTCATACCAAAAACTCTCACCATCTCTAACCTCTGCGCCACCACTCCCCGCTAATTTTCCATCCATTCATTATCTTTTACCCGCTTCGCCGGTGCCCATATCCAGCAATCACAGTGCGAGGGGTGGGGTACACCCTGGACAAGTCTCCAGTCCATCACAGGGACACATGGAGACAAACGAGACAAACAACCATTCACTCTCTCACTCACACCTAGGGACAATTTAGACTTACCAATCAGTCCAACATGCATGTTTTTGGTCTGTGGGAGGAAACTGGAGTACCCGGATGAAACCCACGCATGCACGGAGAGAACATGCAAACTCCACCCAGAAAGGCCCCTACTTTATTAAAAAAATTAAAATAAAAACAGAATTCTAATTCTATATTTATTCAGACTTTTCAAGACTATGTAGGAACCCTGAAATTTTCTGAAACTTTCCAAATTAGGAAAATAGAATCACAAGTTTGCTCCAACGCCTAATCTAATTGCAGCAGTCACTTATTTTAGACCCTGCTCACGGCTTCTTGGTTTTACTGCTTGACAGGAGGGAAGTAAATCTACGTTTATTAAGAAGAGTTGTGGAGCTGCTGCCAGAGGAGCTGATTATATCGTCTCAACCAACAGGGTTGACTCATTTAACTGAAAAGCTCAAATTTTCTGGATAAAAACTAAAAGAAGTGATCAGAAGGCAATATCCTTGGGAATCAGTTCTAGTTGTCATTCTTTAAATGAAAATTGTGATTCTTTGCTGAGAAGTGAAACGTACAAAAGCAAACAGATCCCACCACATAGCATTTTGTAGAGTAAAGGTTTTCACCATTTCTGTATAGGTTTCTGGCATGTAATAGGTTAAAGTATATAAAAAGATCAACATGCCAAGCCCTGTGTTATGTATTATTCTGAAATAAAGTGTTGATCACAGCTTTCTGAGAAGCTCATGGACTCTAAGATGTTTGCAGTGTTTGATATTTGTTCAAACCACACTGCAACCGGACTAAAATATTTTAGTATGTTATATGTGATTAATATTTACATCACATTGATAAAAAACTAACTTTTAAATGCAGTAGTAAATTTTAATGAAAAGGTTTGTCTGAGTCTGGGCTTTGTGAATTTTGATAGTTGAGCTTGTGGAGAACAGAAAAAAGGGCTCGCACAAGAACACACATTTGTTTGAACAGGGCTACAGTAGCTGCAGGGGAAAGAGGGGTGTGGACACTGGGTCTGTGTGTGTTGGGGGGAGGTTAGTGCACAAAAGAAGTTTGAAGTGGGCCAGAAAGGGATTCTGGCCAGCTGAATCAAAGCAGGATGAGAGGCGAGTCAGGGGGTGGGGACCCTGTGAAGGTGTGCCAATGGACCAGAGTAAGGGAGAGAGCTGCAGCTACACAAGCAGCCCCAAATCCCACATTCAAAAAGCATTCTGGGCACATTCCTGCACATCAAGCACACCATTTGATCATGCAACAAGACTAGTCAGCAGCAAAACAACAATAAAAAAGAACAGAAACACACATCATTATCTCAGTGATTGGGCGAGACCTCAAAGTATGTTGCAAAACAAGAAGGTCCAACCTGCCTCAATCTTTGCAAAAATATTGCAAAGCAACACAGTGCCTCAACCAATTAAATCCATGCAAGGTAGATGTGTTTTTATCACGTGTTATCTGTAATTGTCACTTGTTGGCAATTCTTTTAGCAAAATCTGATTCCAAAGCAGAAAGAAAGAAACAAGAACAAACGATCTGTATTCCAAGACACCCACCTGTGGTACTGCGTCTGGAGGAACTGAAACTCCTCCTTGATACGATCCAGAGTTTCTGGGTAGGTAAGTTTCAGTGACTGAGGTGTCCCCGAAGCCGCGGCTGCTGCTGCGGCTGCAGCTGCCACTACTGAGGCAGAGGACCCCGGAGGTGGCTGCAGAGGCGCCTGAGTATAAAGAGAAAATATTCTGTTTACAGACGATACTGAGAACAACATGAGCATTTAAAACGGACAAGGCAGTAACCAAAAGGAGACATTTTTGTCAACAAACAGAATTCTTTTTTTTTTTGGGGGGGGGGGGGGGGGGCGTAGCCTTGATGTAATGGTGGAGGATTTTTTTTTTGTTTGTTTGTTAAAAATGACTAATTTCAGGTTGCAAAGAAACAATAACACTTACCTTTTAAAAAACTAACCATCTCAAGCGTTACAACAACCACAACCATGGGTGAGCGGTTTGACAAAAATGCATCCAAGTTATCCCATGGGAGATGTCTTAATGACTATATTGTAATTAGAAATTTTCAAAACAACATTTTGGTCATCTACAACAATGTTGATGGAACATCAAAGTTCATGCTCAATAATCCAGGTTAAAAAAATCCAACAAAGTTAAAAGTAAGGTCATCTGGACTTTTTTTTTTTTGACATTTCATCCTTCATCCAAAGGACTTCATCAGTCTGAGGAGCCGCAACAAACTCATTCCCACAAGCGGCACATTCAAATAGTGGCCAACCAGTATGATGATGATCAGATGGTTTCTGGAGCCTGCCCTCTCCTTCGTCGACTTTTAATCTGGATTATTAAGAATGAGTTTTGACATTTTGAACCACTTTGGCGATATCTGCCTCAGAGGAGTCAATGGGGGAGAGGGTGGGCCCCACCAGCAAACTGGTTGGTCCACTATGTGAGTGTGCTGCTTGTGAGACTGAGTTTGTTGTGGCTCCTCGGACTGATGAAGTCCTTTGGATGAAGAATGAAATGTCTGAACAAAAAAATAAACCATCTTTTTAGTTTAGTTTTGCTCACTCTTTCCTATTGTCCTTTTCAACACATAACATATTGGCCATTTGAAAAAAGTATTGAGCAAATTCCTCTGCCCATCCAGAGAACTGAGTATGTAAAGTTTTTATACCAGGAAAGAGTGAAGAGAAGAAGCCAAAATGGAAAGGAAACAGGCAGTCCAGTGATGTTGCAGAGCACTCACAGCGTAAAATAAAAGATGAATGATTTGTTTCTGAAGAGAAAGAGTAATGGATCCATCATCTGGCATTGGTTCAGATTTCACAAGGAAGGGGTTGAACAAACATTGCACTGCATTCAAAAAATTCTTTCAAAAGGTTGTTTGTACCACTGATTTCTTTCACCCACTAAAATGTCATTCAATGCTAAATAAATGATGCTTTAACCCTTGCATGTCCATGGATCCTTGCACAGAAATAAAGTAAAATGAACAGACCTTTAAGCAACTGACTGCCACCTTGGTTTACCAATCAGCCTCAGACAAATAACATAAAACAGCACAGAGAAAACACATTTAAGGTAAAAGCTATAATTAAAAAACGTTCTTTAAAAACATGCTCCCTATTAGTGTTGTGGAAAAGCCAAAATAAAAAAAAATCTTAAGACACTTAACTCAAAGTATAAAGTGATTGTTGGAGGCATTCCCCATTAAGATAAAAACAATAGTGCCAGTCTAAAACCTAACATTAAAAGTTTTATAATATTGCAATTGTGGAAAAGCTCCATAATATCATACTATGACCTAAAATTCAAAGTCATATTGCCTAGGCCTTATACCAGTAATCATCATGCAGCATTTCTTTAAGAGCTCGTGTAAAACAATAAATTCTGGTATTGCCACCAGAATCAGACTTCAAGAGGTTTGCAGCACATGGATGGAAAGGTGGATGGGTAAAAGAGCATTTGGCCAAATGAACAGACTTTGTTGAACAAAACCTATTAGAAGAAAGGAATAAAGAGTGAAATTCAGCAGCAGGGGTGCAGAGGAAAAGCACCTCAACATAACTGAAGACCCACCCCCCAACACTTGCATGTATGGTAGACTCTCTTCTCTGCAGGGTCCAAAGCAATTAGGAGACTACAACTGTAGGGGTAATTCTGCAAGACAGGCAGACAAAAGGGAGCTGAGAGCTAGCCAAGGAGGGTGGTCGGGGCTGTCCATCTGTCTGTCTGATGGACTCTGTCAAAATAAGTGAGTGTAGAAGCAAACACTTAAAAAGTAACTTCAAGCTTTACAAAGTAACTCAAACTTCAATTTTCTTGAAGGGTGAGGACTATCCAGTTTTGGTAGAGCTTTCTTGACTTTTCATTTATCCAAATATTGTTGCCGACTTTTAAAGCACCAAATATGTGAGGTGTAGGGGTGCACCGATAAATCAACCCCGATTTGGAAATTGGCCAATACTTGCACAAAGAACCAATTTTACTTACTTTTTTTGTTTGTTTTAACAACAATTGTCTGAACTTCATTTATTTGTTCAGAGAATTACCTCATGGCAGCAGGTGTTTGTGACACAGGGAGATGCCCTCAGGTAATCAGATGTACAAGGCCTTTTGCTCACGGTTTCAAATACCCAACCATAACTCCACCCACTCTGTCATCATGTGACCAGAAGTCTAACGTGAATGACCAATGAGGTACTCTCGAGGACCATCCCCCCAAGACAGACGTGAATTAATTTCTTCAGATCGTTCCCATGTTGTTTTATCGTATTTTGCGCAGTTCATTTGTTCAGCGATAATGAAAAATGCATGGAGAATTTCTTATGATGCAGATTTCATGTTAAAAGTGATCATTCAGCTGTCGAGGAGGAAACGGCTTGCAGCCCGTAAGCTGCTTCAATGTGTGTCGATGGTCGGGCATTGGAGACGCCAAGCAGTCAAGTCTGGTACGTTTTATTAAAAGTTTTAAAATTCTTTCTGTGTGACATCTTTCTGTGTCAGTAAATACTGTATGCGTTTAAATACCAGGATCTCATTTTAAAGTCACATCCGAACACAAAGTGGAGAAATGGAAGGGGTCTTTCTCCCCTCCCCTTTCCATCCATGAGAGCTCAACGGTGGATAAGTCGGGCAAGAACGGGGAGGGAGGGGCTGTTCCCCATTCCTTCCTCCCTGCTGCTCATATAAGTAGTGCTGAGGAGAAATCACATCAAATTTATTTAGAAAGTACATTTAAAAACAGCAGTTGTTAACAAAAGTGTTTACCAATAATAATAAAAAATTAAATTAAATTTTAAAAAATCAATGGTACTAATTTAATGAATATTTATTGCATTCTACCGGTACTATTTGACTTCCGGTCACATGACCTCGATAAGACTGGGTAATATTTACCAGTAAATTTTTTTTTTTTTTTCCACTTGCCTAGGTATTTGGCACTGTTCTGTCCAATGCTTATGCTAAGCCATTTTGTTCATTTTGAAAGTATAATGGTTGTAACCATGAGTCACACAGCGAAGCTTCATGACGATCTTGCAGTCTGAGCGCGTGTTGCAAGCTATATTCTGTGAAACACCATCTGCTGGCGGATTCTTGTACTACAATAAGAAAGCTGAACACAGCCCGAGCAGTCTGGGGAAATAGTCCATGACGAACGGTGGATGCCTGCAGCTAAATAACCAGAGCGTCTTCTTTATGTAAAAAAAAAAATGATTTATCTTATATTTAATAAGTGCAGCTTAGAGACAGGTGCATTTTAAAGTCCGACAATTACGGTAAATTACCAAGAGACTAAAAAACATAGATGGTAAAAGAGCCACTAGCCTCATTCTTCCTTTCTTTCTAATAAGTTGCTACCAATCTGTCTGCCAGATACCCCACCTAGAGTATGGAGCCACATGTGCACATTTCTTTAACTAAACACACTCAAGCCTACAATTACGCACTCTCCACCCATAGATAAACATGCATGTTTGGCCAGTCTTGGCAACACATTTGATCATCTCTTCCCTAAAGAATTTTTCCTCAGACTACCCAAGCAGATATTTTTCTTTTGCTTTCATACAAAGAAGTGATCTTAGAGAAGTGTTAAGCAACAGTGAAAAACAGAACTATATTTTCTATTTTGCTCCACTTACCCCTTATTTTAATCCAATTCAGCTTATTTCAATTCCCTTTAATTCAGTTTATGTATTTAGCACCGAGTCACAACAGAAGTTGTCTCACTGTACAAAAACATTCACTTACAAAAGCCAATTAGTAAAAGTTATCTATCTAAGGAAGCCAGCAGATTGTGTTAAATCTTCACTTTGTTGCAGTCTCCCATCCTGAGCAAGCACAGTGGTAAGAGCAGAAAGAAAATAAATCCCTTTTAACAGGAAGAAGTATCCAGCAGAACCAGGCTCAGGACGAGTGAACATTTGCTTCAACTGGTTGGAGTTTGAGACAACAGGAAGGAGAAACAAGCAAATGTAGAATGAATGACAGGTCCAGATGTACTTTCTATTGGAAAAAAGACAAAAACATGTTAAGGATAGAAATATCTATACAAATACAAACAGGTAGAGCAAGTCAAGACAACAGGCAAGTGAGGAAATGTGGTAAATTTGTCCCAACAATCTAAGCTTATAGCAGCATAGCTAAGGGATAGCTCAGGAAACCAAAACTGACCCTAACTATAGGATTTCTCAAAAAGGAAAGACTTAAGCCTAATATTAAAAGTAGACGAGGTGTCAGCCTCATGGACAGAAACTGGAAGTTGATTTCACAAGAGAAGAGCCTGATCACTGAAAGATCTGCCTCCCATTCTACATTTGGAAACTCTAGCAACCACAAGTAAATCTGCATTCTGAGAACGAAGTGCTCTGTTAGGAAAGTATGGAACTTTTTTTTCTTTTGGCTGCTCCCTTCTTCAGGGGTCGCCACAGTGAACTAACTGGCACGAAGATTTGGCAATGATTTGGCAATGGTTTTTACAACGGATGCCTGACACAACCACAGACCACCAAGCTACAACAGCCCTCTGTGTGGAGCAGAGAGCTGCCATCTAGCATGCCTGGGAGAGCAGATTGTGGGAGTTAAGCATCTTGCTCAAAGGCCCAGAGTGGGGGTAAATAAGGGTAGAGGCAGATGTAGGCGTTTCACCTTCTCCACCCACATTTTGATGTCGGTCCGGGGAGTCGAATCAGCAACCTTCCAATCA